GTCTCAGTATGGTTTTGGCATACGTTTTGTGCAGAAAGGCTGCTGTTTGTTATCCCAAAAAGTGTATTTAATTTTTTTGTGAGCAAAAACATTTGCATTATTTCAATTATTACTTGTATCAAATACAAAATCTAAAAAGATATGTAAAATGTAAACAAACAAAATGCAAAACACAAAATGCATGTAAACACTCCAAAAAACTGGAATACAAAAATTCACATACCGGTAATATAAAGATGACTATTTTAAATGAGTGAGCTATGTTAATGAAACACAAAGTTTAAAATAGTTTAAACAAATGTTATATTTTGCACTGCAGCAATGCATACAATTGAGTCCTCAATGGTTCATTGCTCACTAAACACAAAAGCTGCATTAATGTCTAGCTCGCAAACTGGGAGCTGACTGCTCAGAGAAAGACAGGGAGAGGTCAGCAGCTCCTGTGCTGCACACAGAACAGCTGACAGGCCAGAGCAACTTGGGATTTCTGCAAAATAAATCAGAAAACCATCATTCAAAGACATTTATTTAATTCTGACCACGTCAATTGGAGACATGTTTCCTGACTTCCAAACTTTGGCTGACAACCCAGCGAGCGTTTGGCGTCAGGTGCAGGTGGAGTGGCGCTCTGTGCCAGACAAGATGCAGAGCCATGCGCTCTCACATAAGTGTAATGAATTCATGTAGCCTGTAACTCTGCTCCATGTGTGGCATGGTTTAGAGTAGGAATGGGCGATATAAACTTAATCCACAATAGAGATTTTCCCTCTACTGCAATAGAATGGATTTTTCCAGCTGTACCATGATGGGACGCAGCAGCATAAATGATGTTCAGCGTTTATAGTCCCTGTAGATCAGAAATCGCACTGCCATTTTAATTAATACTGAACCAAACCAGCCTGAACAGAGATTCAAACCGTGCCACCACACATGGACCAGAGTAACAGGCTACAGGAATTAATTATAAACACACCTGTTACCAGAGTGCGTATGGCGCTGCGTCCTGCCTCGCACAGAACGGCGCTCCCCCTGCACGAACGAGAGCTAACAATGCTAACAGTAAATTAGAAAGAGTCAACTCTAAAAATATCTCAAGTTGCTTTTTTCAATTACCACAGATGCTATTGGAGTGAAATGTATTTATCTACTAACAATATCAACTACTGTGTCTGACTCGTCTTGTTATGATTCTAGTCCGAACGAGGAACCAGGGAGGGAATTTTTCTGCAGCACTCCGATTTGACCACAAGATGTCAGTGTTACGTATCCCTCATTAAATTTACAGTCTTTCTCCTGGCATTCAGTTTTAAGTCTGTAAATCTTTCATTTATTCATTTTACCAATTTTGAATTTATTATAATTTAATGTGCACATAAATGGAAGCAAGTGAAAAATTTAAAATTTCAATAAAAAATTTCCACTGTTATGTCAGTGCTAAATAAATATTTCAGTTTTGTTTTATTGCAATGCCTTGATTATAGTGAAGTTGGAATACATTGTAGCCATAAATGCTATGGTTGACTTTTAGCTTATTGACATGCTAATTGACCATTTTTCTTTCAGTGCTGCAGTTTTCAGCCTTGGTTTTCTCATTTTAGGTTTTTGGTTTCAGCCAAGAATTTTCATGTTGGTGCATCCCTAGAAAATAATACCTAATGTCAAAATTAATAGAACTTACTGGCTGGATGTCAATGAAGGCCTTGCGAACCACGCTGCTGGGTCGGAGGAGTCTCCTTCCAACTTTGTATGGTGCAGTAGGGAGAATCAGTGGGAGCAACAACAAAGCGGCATCTTCCTGTTTGTCTGTAAAATGGAAATGTTTCACATTTCTCAAGGTTACCAAACTTAGAAAATGACAACCATAAAATATGAACTGCAATGATTTTGAGGTCAGAACACACTGGCTGACATCTTTCAAAAACAAAGTTGGAACTATTCAAAAACAGAAAAATGGATGGGTGAAAATCTTATATCGCCCACATCAAGTCAGACAGAAAAAACTGCCTCAGATGTTACCATAAAACCTACTGAATACAACAAGTGATATGTTTGTTAAAACAAGGTGAAGTACTCCCATTGGCAACACAAGATGTTTACCATATATTCAGCTCATCTCCAAAGCTCCAGCAGATAATAAAAATTTGTAAGAAATTGTATACAGCGCATTTACTGTCCTCTAATGCCTGCACACCTAATAGGCTACGTATTGACAATGAGATCAAAATAAAAAATTTAAATGTCTCATTGTACTTATAGAGCCTTTATTTAAGCTAATTTTTCAAAGATTGTTTCATAGTTGTTTTTTTTACCGTAAATGACAAGTTGATTGATCTGAAAGAGAAGCAATACACACTGCTTTTTAAGGACTTTCCATTTTTGTCTGAGTTGATGCTAACCTTGCCCTGCAAGATGTTTTCTCGCAAGATTTGGAGTTTTCCAAACTCGTGAGAATCCATCTTGGCCTCCTCCAATCCTGACGGTTCAGCATCAGCTCAATGGTAAACGGACTAATCGTGTGTCAGCATTGTGCTTTTTGGCAGGCGCATGAGCAGCTGTTTGGGCATGCCGACAAACATGGCAGTGCCGGTGGATGTCAGAGCAGTTACTGGTTTCAGAATGGATATAACCTCCAGCAAAAGGTAGGCCTAGGTAGTCTCATTTATAGCTCCAATACGGCGCTATATTGAATATCTGTTTTAGAAAAACTAGAGACTTAGCTGTGATTGGCTAAAGACAAACCATGGTAGCCAGTGTTCGGACACTTGCTGGTGCTTCCTCCAATCAGCTCAAAGTATTCCAGCAGATGGCCCACCCTCCTTCCTAGGCTTTCTAATGCAGCCTGCGGCGGAGATTCCAGATCGAAATATGGAGACTCGACAGGTGGCGGGGCTACATAGAGAGAGCTGACTGCTGCCAGCTTAAGCTGATGCAACTAGAACAGCAAACCTATAGTCCATGACCTCATCTACTTTCAGTCACTCAGAATTATGAGGTAACTGGAATGCACCATCAGAGCTTCAGCACCTGGATTTTCAAGTTGTGTGCTGCTACTTTCTGGAGAAAAGCTGGCTGGCTATGGCTAACCTTACAATTTCTTTTATATTTCCATCCCATCTTCAAGATGTAGCCCATTATAAGGCGTGTAAAGGCTTTTAAATTGAGGACAAAGTGTGGCTTGTATAATTATTATTTAGCTGCTGAGCTACTTTATATTGGTACTGGAAACAGTTGACCTTGTTCTAACAGATATGTCTTGTTTTATTTGTTCAGTGGGGTTTATGTAAACACCTGAAGCTATTTTAATGAGTCTGTTCTGTCTGAGGCGGTTTAGTAAGAAGAATAAAAAGTGTGTTCTTGAGAAATGTCTTTTTATCTAATGTCTGACATCTGAGGTGTTCTTTCTGAGGTCTTACACATGTATTCTTGAGACCCGAGGATGTCCTAAAATGCACACTGTATAACCGTCCAGAAGGACAATGATCTTGGCAATCCACCAATCAGGCCTGGATGGTAGCATGGTCAGACAGAAGCCACTTCACAGTAAAAGGCTCGTATCAGCGATCCACTTTGAGTTGCTTGAGATAATGGGCTGCACCGCAATGCATGCTACTGGTGCAAATGGCTGAATTAAAAAAATGCACTAGTGTGTTCTGTCCCATATCAGCCTAGCCAAAAATGTTATAGTAAACTCTTGACTCAAAATAAAAATTAAATAAAGTTGACAATGATTGTGAAATGCAAATACCTGCTGGAAGCGAATCTATGTCGATGAGACGGTTAGCTGCGTCTTCTTTTCTGGCCATGCGGATGATCTTTCGGGAGAACACGTGGCTCCACCTTGCAGTTAATTTCTCTGAGGAGTCTGGGTGTAGCACAGAGAAGTCCTGAGAAATCTTACAATGGGGGGGGGGGGGGGGGGGGGGTAAGAGACATATTGTTAAACACAAAAACTGATTTGTGAAATTTACTGTATAAGAAAGCTCACCATGCCTGGAGTGTCAACCAAACGTGGAAACTCGGCCATTATTTCTCTGATTGACATTGTCCCATTGCTTCTAATCCACTGGGCTCGTTGGATAGCGGTCTCCAGCATATACTGGGAAACTTGTGATGGTGGCCAGATATTGTTTTTCAGCCATTCTGTCATCTGGATGGCTCGCTCTGGAGATACAGTAGGTTCTGTTGTAGATTAAAAAAGAAAAAAACATTCTGAATAGTGATGACTGATCATGACCTTTACAATTTAAAAATATGTCAGAATTGTTTCATTTCAGCAAATGCCCTAGAGAAAGAGTGCAACCATTAAGTAGACTGTAATGGCGCTTTTACACTTGGGCCAGCTTGTCCCGCTCCACTCCAGCCGGGTTGTGTTCACATGTTGCCGGTGAGGAATTGGGCCATGAGCGGAGCCAGCAGGTGGCGGGAAAGAATGCAGGTAAACAAAGGCAGGAGCAGCATTGGGGAGAGCGGGGGATATCTCGGAAGGAAACAACGCAGAGGAGGTCGCAATTTATTTGTACGTTGTGCGTGGACTGGCTCTTTTTAAAGAAAAAATCTCCTTGTTTGACATGTGAGGAGACGTCGTTCTGGTAGAGAATCACTGGAAGCCGCTCAGCAGAGCTGGGAGAAGGCAGACAGCACATCGGGTGAGCGCCGGTTACAGTTTCCAGCTGCAATGTGTTTAAATCAGTTAGAAAGAGCGAGAGTGACATCACTATGCAGGGCTTATCAGTTCATAGGTGGGCGTGTTGGCCAGAGTGGAACCAAGGTTTCCTCGGTCCGAAAATGGTGTCCGTTCCGCGCAGCTCTACTCGAGAAAAAGAGTGTGAACGCTCTGAGCGGGGCCGTATCATGCGGAGCCGACGCCAGTGTAAAAGCGCTATAAGATTAAGGCAAGTTGGCTTTACCAGGCAAAACAATCTGGCATTTTTGTGGCGCTTGAGGTGTTGACTTATTCTGGGTGTCGCAGCGTGACCTCTTTCGCACATTGCGGAGACATTCCTCTAGGAATCCTGTTGCAGGTCTATGTTTCCTTCCTGGGGTGAACCACGCATCCTAAAGTAAAAACAAAAACACATACACAACAGGAAAGAATACAAAAATAGCAAATTAGAAAATAAGAAAACCAGCACAAGCCTTTGAATGAGGTAGTGGATTCACTTGAAATTTACAATTTATTTATTGGGAGTATCCACTCTGAGGTTTGTGTTTTAATTATATGTTGGTCACACAGTGATAGGCAAGTCAAATTCGTCTGTAAAGCACACTTTCAGTGATAAGGCAATTCAAGCTGCTTTTGAAGACCTGCGATATTCTATAACAGTGCTTAATATTGCGATATTGATATTACTCACGATAAATGAACAAATACTAAAATATGCAGTGTTGATGTCGTCTGGCGTGTGACGTCTTCTCTGGGTTCAAAGCAAACAAAAACTAATGCATGAATTCCATTACAACATAACATTTTTATAGCAAAAACATGCAGCTGCACCTGCTACTGTATTAGTAGCAAAACAACAAACTGCATGCATGCAGTTTCTCAGTGACTTTAAAACATCACCTCCACCATAAAACTTTTTCTGATTCTCCAAATACAGAAAAACATCCCTTACCAGGGTTTTTAGAATAAATACTTTAAATGTTAAATAATAGTTAACATCACTTAAATGCAACAGCAAATTCTCTCATTGCTACTGAACATTTTCTCCACTTATGTGGTTAAGATATAAGGATGTTGCTGTAATTGGAAAGTGAACTGTGCTGGGCCAAACTAGGAGAATATTAAGATTTTCTGAGGGAAAGAGAAAAACAATCGTCTACCTTTCAGAAGAGGAACTGGCAAAAAAACTACATGGAAAATATGTGAAAACGTTTGTTTTTAACCCCAAATTGAACAAGTTTACCTAGATCTTAAAAAGCAGCTCAGATGATGAAACTGCAACTATGATTCTGATAACAAGCTAACTAATTGAACTAGCTCCTCTAAGATAACTGGCTAGCAGAGCTTCTGACTGACAGTTTATGTGCAGCAGCAAATCAACTATCCTGATTAACAAGGTTATAAAAGCTCATAAATGAAAAATCACTTTGATGTGTGGGGGAACTTTTCCAGGCCCTCTTTAGCAGGGTGGGACTGGGAGGAGAGTGCTGTAGCCTTTTAGCTGGAAGCTAACCGGAGCCACCACCCGGTGGAACACTAGCGACATGAAGGTGGGTTGGTTCACCGGCACGTGTCGGAGTCAGCCCGGTAAAAATGATTACGACACCGAGCGGACTCACGTTCACGTTTGAAAGCAGCGCTGATTCCAGAAACCTCAGCACAAAGTGTGTTCGGTGCTCTGAGCCAGAATGACGAACAAGGGAACGGCGCTGCAAACTATGTTCAGCTGTTGCTTTCCAAAAGAGTCTATGTAGGGGGCGGGCGTATTACGTGAACGGACCCATCTGATTGGTCGCATATCAGAAGGACTACATTTGATTGGTCAAATAATACTTCTGCGTAAAAAACAGAGCTGGTTTACAAAAAGCTGATGTATGACACGGATGGAAATGTTTGAACCAAACATTTATCGCTGTTTTTGCCGTGTTTTGCGATGGGCCTATCACACGTCCTGTTATCGCGATGACGATAATTTTTCGATATATTGTGCAGCCCTAATAGATATTAATATAGATGATGGTAGGACAGTTTGCTGACTTTTATGAGAGTTTTAAATGTCCTTTATTTTTGATAACATAATAATGTCATATGAAACGTTACTTACATAGCCTGTGCCAAGACTGTCCTTTAGACATGGAAACTGCTCCACTACTGATGATGCCAGCAATGCCTTTGATTCCGAGGGTGGACTTCAAAAGAAAATTGACATGTTACTTTATTATACACCCAAAACAAAAGATACTTTTGTACACTTATTATGAAACAGCTTTTTTATTGTTTTCAATCATATTTTGAAAACCATAATTTGTGATTCAACACTCCAAATCCTTTGGAAGAGATGGCCATGGTTTAAAAATCTACATTTGTTCACCAACTTTAAATAACATAAAAAAGAGAAGTCTATTATAAGTTTGAAAAGATGCTCACTTCTCTCCAAAGCACTCAATCAGGTGGGACACAAGTATCCTGACCATGGATCTTCTCTCACTTATAGAAATGTGATGGCTTTCTTCAAGGCTGTGAACTATTGCTCTTCCATCAGGTGTTTTGTTGAGTATCTCACGGATATTCTAATAATATGTGAACAGAGAAAAAGGGTCTAATTAAATCTGCAAAGAAACCTAAACCTTCAATACATCACTGGGAAAGGTTAGAGGGATTTTCTGGAGGGAATGATAAGAATCCATTATTACTTCTGCATGGATAGTAAGACTTACAAATGATGTTCCACCCTGGACAGGAGCCACGTGCTGCAATTTGTCAGCTGGTGCACAAACAGACTCCGTTTGTTTAGGGCTTGAATCCTGGTTAAAAAAAGCAGGGGAAGACCCTACATAACTACAAAAAAATTGATAAAGCATCTATAATTCTGATTGTAGTTTTAGTTACATGGTTCAAATCATAAAAACAATTATGGTATATTTGTCAAAAACACTCAGGTATATACTTACAAAAGTGATGATGATAAAGCTGATATGCAGCTCCACAGTTATATTGATTTTAATCAAATATTTTAATGATTTGAATGTATTTACATTTATTTGTCACAAAAATGAGGTAGTACCAGGTCAAAGCTCAAGACAGTACTTAAAACCCTTTGGGTTTAAAATAGCCTGTACCTCAGTGAAATGTAGGTCACTGCAATTCTCCTTGTAGGATTTCACAGCATGGAGAGGGTGATAGTCAGCAATGGAATCAATGTCCACTGCTTCAATCGCTGAGGTAGGGGAAACATTGAAGGCAAAAAAAATGCCTTTCAAAGCCGATTGTTTCCCACTTTTTTAAAATGAGCTTAGTATTCGAACGAAGTACCACAATGCTCTGAATAGTTCCAAACTGAGGCTCGCAGTCATCTGTATGAGACATAAATAATGTCATTCCTGTCCTGTAGCTAGTGCCCTTGTACTTAATCCAAGAAGGCAGATAAACGTCTGTAATAACAGCAACTCCTTCAAACCCAGATTTGACCTTCTCAAAATCCTCTATTGTACCAAGGAGTTTGGTATATCCTGGCCCAACTTCAAACTCATGGCAAAACATCTGGCCTGACAGGAGAGTGTAACACATCATTATTTGATGTCTGTAGGCTTGGGTTTTACAGATATTTCGAAAGTTGCAGGTAACATGACTCACTCTTTTGAAAAACCCATGTTTTGCCTCAAAGCGCATTGACCAGAAGTGAACAACAGGCCCAAGTTTCCGTATGGCTCTGGGATAGTGAAGCATGAAGTGGTGTTTGGGTTTTAGATGTCTGTCTGGGAAGAGCTCTAAATAAAGACAATGGTGCTTCTCAATGATGTGCCCCAAAAAGACTACTGCTCCTTCTGTTAATGAAGGAGAAAAAATAAACTCCATGCAGCTCAACAATAAAAGAAGCAACTCCCAATATTTGTTGTCCTCTGGAATCAAATCCCCTATCATGAGGGGAAGCAGTCTTAGCAGACACCATGTTTGTGAAGCAGATTGCCTAAGTCCAGTATCAGGATTTTTCAAGTCCTGAGGTTTGATGGTTGATGGCTTGTTGTGGACATCACAAAATCCATAGTCAAAGCTTGTCAACCTGTAGTTCAGCTGATCAAGAGTGACAATTTTTTGTTCAATCAATGCATTGAGCACAAGCTTAATTTCATAACCACCAATCCCTTCGAGGATATCATGCATGACATCAGGAGCAACATTGTCAGTCACATGGTAGAACTGCAACTTGTTAAGAGAGCACTCTCTCTTGATGCCAGTTTCAGCTGGTTTGTGTAGAAGCAAGTCTGAGTGGTAGTTAACCTTGTCACGTATTGATGAAGGAGCTTCAACTGTCTGTACCCTCAACACTTCCTTGTGAACTCGACACCACCGACACACGCTATTGCCTGCAAAGCTTTCTGTGTAACCAAGTATTCCATTAAGTCCAAGGTTATCACCACAGACCTGTGCCACTCCAGCCTTAACAATGCCTGAAAAACGTGTGGTTTCAACATGAAAGCCATTCAGTTCCATGTCTTTAATGTCATTCACAATTGGCTCTAAAATTGTGTTCATTCCATATGTTTTTACATCATCAGCTTTGTACACTGCCAACAAGAAGTGAGACTTTAAACTAGACATGTATTCCTGTGGCAAGCATTTCATTGTGAAATAGATAAAACCAAGTTTGTGGACTGATGTTTTTGCGCCAAGTGGATTCACCATCTCACACTCATCACTGTAAAGAACCAATGGAATAGAGAAATCTTTAGAGAAAAGTGGATTAGTTTCAAATATTGTGCCATCTCTGAAATCCTCTAAGGCAGCATTTTCAAGATTTTGCCATTCAAAGATCTTATCTATTGTTCCTGGACTTTCCAGAACAAGCTTCAACATGGGTTTCAAGGGAACATACTGGAAAGTGTCCCGAACTGCAACTTGTTTCACATTTCCTGACTCTCGATCAATTTCTTGTGTAAAGGAAAAGCCAGGGAGTGGTACTGCCTCTGGCTGTATGAAGAACCCAGACTGAGTAAAATATTTCATTTGCTTGTACTCTGATTCAAATCCTTGAAATGGTTCAGCTGCTTTGGTGAACTGCTCCATGAGGTCCTCTGCTTGTGGAGTCTCAGAGTGACCGATCTCTCTTAAAAAAGAGAGTGTTTTTCTCTTTAAGCAACCAACTACATCTCTGATAAGACCTGATGTGTTTTCAACTACATCTCTAATCCCACTGAATGTCTGAGAGGATGTTGCCTTTAACCTAGCTAAGAAGAGTGCAACTCTGTCCTTTATGTTGTCTTCCTCTAGCTCATCCCAATGTTCTGCTGTAGTCTCACAGCATTCCACCTCATTTAGCACACTTAAATGAGGATCTACTGAACTGTCAGGAAGTTCACCTGTGCTACTTTCTTCTGTTTCAATGTCAAACTCAATAGCATGCCCAATTATGTGTCGTCTGAATGATCTTATTTGATCAAAAGTGCGATGGCACCCAACTTGAGCACACTGGAAATAAGTCGAAGTAGAAAGTATATGATGCACCACTCTGAGATGGTTAAAAAAAGCTCTTATGTTATGACCTAAAGACCTATGACATTTAAAGCACACGTACCCCATTCTGTTTTGACCTCTGACACTGGTCATACCTCAAGTAATCTTTTTAAATTATTCTGAATTTTCAGGCGTGGACCCAGGAGAGGTATCAAAGTCGTCAAGCTGTTCGCATCCAAGAGGAAAAGGCTGTCTTTGTCAATCTTTTCAGCTGAAAAAAAGAAGGAAATTTGGATCACTGATCAATAAAACAACAAGCCACACACAGATGTAGGCCTGAGCAATAAAACAGTAACCATATGTACCGCAATGTAACTTTTTCTCAGTAGTAAAATGAGACTCGCAATATAGTTTGTCCATCTTTTTTTTCATAGCCAACTGAATTACACTATTAAAATAAACTATACCAGGACAGATTGGGAGAATTTGCTTTTAGTTTTTAGCTTATTCATTTGATATTGACAAAACGTTCGACAATTTATTCTCCTGTAAAACTTATTGTATCCTGAGATTTATTTTTAGTCAATATTTTGTTTCTAAGTGGAATTGACCAAGCAGTTAGGTCATTTTTTGTTCTCTTTTGAAACTTGAAAGCTTTAGTCCTGACTTTAGTTTATAATATTATGAACCTTTATTATTTTAGTCACCTGAAACAGATGTTATGTTCTCTCAGTACGACTGTCATGTTGAACCTTTGACAGGAAACTAATATTTAAATATAAAAGCAGCTTCTGATGATTTCACATTTAACTTTTAAGTAACAGCCCATTTAAATTTTACACAGAGTTTTTTGACTTATATTCCAATCTAATCCAATCCAATTTTATTTATAAAGCGCATTCAACATGGCATTACAACCAAATAAGGCGCTGTACACCAAAAATATATATTGTAATATATATATATATATATATATATATATATATATATATATATATATATATCGACATTGACAGAAAGGAAAAAGATGTATCGTGATATGAAAAATCTTATATCGCCCAGCTTTACACAGATGTAAATATGAGTACTGGTAGTTACAGTTTTTTACTTTAATTACAGAAATACATTTACTTTATCATACCTTCAAAAGCAGGGATGTATTCAGAGAGGTTCCATTCCAGAAGTTTGTCCTTCACAAATTCATCCATCTTTTAGAAAAAAACAGAAATCACATTTGGTTGCTGTATTTTTTTAACAGTTAATCACCAATATTACTTGCAGTTAATTAACAATTGAAGTTTACAAAGGATTATACAACAAAGCAGAAGCAGTATTTATCAACAATTAACACTTGAACTGTGCATTTAACGTCATCTGTTTGGTAAGATGCTGCTAAATCAGTAGCCAGTGAGCTCACCTGTCCGTTCCCTGTTTCAATCTGTTGTGTCCTACAAGCTTATTATTTTATAATGTCCCAAACACTTGCTGAAATTAATTGTTTTCATCTGGTAATATTGCCCACAACACTGGAGAGGAAATCTTCCGCGCTGTTCACAGCCATGCTGCTACTGTTAAACGCTAACAAAATAAAACGTATGCAAGTAGGGAGTAGCATAGATCATCTTTGGGCAGATTATCAAAAATAGAGCGCGTCCAGATCGTTTCAAAAGCTAACACATTATCTCAAGGATTCTGAGGATTGGATGACAATCCTCAGAACTTCCTGACAGTTTTGTGGGAATATCTACAGTTATAAATTAACATCCAACTTTGTTTTGGTACACATCTACATATATTCAAGCTTTAACATACCTTGAGTGAAATAAACCGGGCATTATCATGAAACTCTGGCTCCCATGATTCGGATGGATTATCAAGCAGTTTACCTTTGGCGTGCTTCATCAGCTGGAACCTATTAACTTTCACGTTAATGTCCGCCCGTTTATTTGTGCGCTGCTGCACACGACTCTGACTGACACTGATTATATTTTATTTCACCGCTATGTAGCGCGAGCTGTTGTCAACTGAAAGCAGTAGCAGTTTGCGCGTTGCGCCGCCATTTGTTTGCTCCCCACCCCAGGGACAGGGGTTGTGGAGTTGGCGCGCGTGCCGTTATGTAACATGCATATGAACCTGTGAACGTAATCTGCCCGGCAACAGTTACAGTAGCGGGAAAGCTGCGCGCAACCACTTAGATAAGCTATTATTCTCCTGTAGCACTATGCCTATTGGTCTCCTGTCTCATTTCCCCACAGAAATGTATAGTAGAATTGGTACTACCAAAGAAGTAGTGCTGAGCTACACAAGTAGCGGGAGGTATTGCACAGACCGCAGCATAAAGAGCCCCTGCTGCTAGTGGGGATGCTATGCATAGTAAGCCTAACTTCCTGAGCCTCATCATGTCTAACAAACAAAGGGAGGGTGGACAAATGGTAAAACACTGTCTGGAGCAGATAGTTGTGTCACAGATTTTCTGTTCCATTATATCTAATGAAGTAGATTGATGCTAGGAAGCTATAGCTAGCTAGCTACTCGAAGCTATATTCGGTTGAAAATCTCTTGTAGGCTTAAAATCTCTTTGTTTACTGCATTACCTGCCTTCAACTGCTTTACCAGAACACATTTTCAAACTCCATCATCAACATCTTACCTTATTTTTAAACATTGCTGGTGTGAAGGTCCATGGAAATGAGGCAAGTCCTTGTCATCCTCCACTTTAAAATGGTGAAGCTGGCACAGACGAGGGGGAGGATCTTTCTTTTTACCGCCCCTTTTAACCCAACATGCTGGGTCAAAATGTTTGACCCAATGTTGTATTAAATTGACCCAACTGCTTAAAAATCAGCCTTAACCCAGCAGTTGGGTTAGCAAAATAACCCAGCATTTTTAAGAGTGTAGTTTAATTACAGTTTGATTTATTTGACATCTGTATAATGTTTATTATTTTGTTTTTCCCCCTAAATACCTAACGTTTGAGTTTAACATGAATATCAGTCATTCATCCCAATACATGAAGTTACACATTTTAAATTTTAATAGGGGAAGACTGCAGGAGGGAGCGGTAAAATCATAGACTGTACATACTTGCTACCCGCCGGCTGTGATCACAAGCGACAACATATTAGTTCCCGCTGCTTCTTCGGTAAACAGCGCAAACAAAAACAAAGAAACTTGGGATCTTGTCGGCGTGGCGGTGGGATTTAAGGGAAACGCTGTATGCCCTATAGACTTCTCACCGAGCTGCAGTATTTCTCCGGTCAGATCTGTCTCTGAGAGCTCCAAGAGCGGTCAGCCCGCGCAGAAACTAGCCGCCGCACAGGTCAGGCTGCCTGGCCTGACCGCTGGGGATTACCGGATGGAAGAATGGACACAGGTGTCACTCCAAGCCTGCTGGAGATTTTAAGGGTTCAGATGAAAACACCCTACCACTCAGGCTGCTTACACATCGATATTAAGTTGTCGCTGTTGCGCTCACGCCGTAATACAGTATTAGATGCGGTTAAAGTCAGACATGAAAAACTCCACGAGCGGTCAGACCGCGCAGCAGCTAGGCGCAGCAAGTAGGCGCCGGATCGTCCAGGCTGCCCGGCCTGACCGCTGGGGATTACCGGGTGGAAGAATGGACACAGATGTCTCCCTCTTTGCGCTCCGTCATATTTCAACCCATTTTGATCTTTTACCATATTACCCATCTAAATATGCCCTATTAATTATTTTACCGTATTTTACATTTAAATTTCATGGTTAAACAGTACATGCTACATGTTAAACTGATAGTTAGCTAGCTACTTCGGTAAACTCAGCTAGTTTAAAGGTGGCAGTGACATAAAATACGAATATAGATTTTAACTTACCGAAAAAAATGAAGTGGAGACTCCTTGGACGCTCTATTAGTGCAATTAATACCACAGCAAGTCATTTTGTCCAACAATTGCACCAATAATATCCAAAACAGAATTCACAAGCACAGAGACTCAAAATCCCGAAACAGCTTCCAGGAGGGGCCGAGGCTGTACTGAGGCCTTTCCACGGAGCTAGCTCTGTGGTCACGTGGGTCTGAGGCGGCGGTCACGTGTGTCGGATGCTCATTAATTATACAGAATTTTAGGCTTTCAATACACTTAAACAGAAGAGTGAGAAAAAAATTCACCCCCCTCAGAGTTGTCATGAGTATAAACTAGCTAATTTAGACAAAAAACATGTTTTGGCACCAGGCTGTAAACATGTTTATTTCTGCTGTGAAATCGGCATTTTTAACATGGGAGTCAAAGAGGATTTGCTCGCTTCTGGCACCAGCCCCCAGCGGATGAGGGTGGAACTGCAATTTTTCTTACTTCCGGGATGGGACCATTTTTAGAGCGGCATTGTGGGGGCTCTCAATTCAGGGTCTGCATCCTTCGAAGGACGCAGCCCACTCGGCCGACGCGGGCTGCGTCCTCCGTCGGCCGGGTAGACCGGATGTTAACGGCTGTGAATTTGGACAGGCCTAGCCTTCATGAACTCCCTCCGCGAACGTTCCGTCGCCTAGCAACCGTGGAACCGCTGGGCAGAAGGGAGAAGGAACTTTAAACGATGGAGCTTGACGTTTTATTTAGCTTTTTAACCCCCAGAGACCCAAATTTAGAAAACAACTGCAAAATCTTTATTTAACCTTTCACATGTTGTTCTAGGCCAGATAAACGGGCCTATTTACACATTTTAACAGTCAATAGTGTTGCAGAACTGAACAATAGGACCTATTAGCAATGTAAATGTAGTTTTAAAAAGAAAAAATGGGGAAGGTTTATTCTTGTAGACTTAAATCTGATGTTGTAATGTTACAACCGTGGGTCTCTGGGGGTTAATCATTTCCTTGACTGTTGGAGAACTAATTCAGAGAAAATACTTTAGACAAGCTGAGCCTGAGCAAAGATGTGATAATAGTTTTTAATACTTTCTAAGGGTCTTAATTTGACCAAAACCCATTTATCAACTTTTAAGACTTTAAGACCCAGCGGATACCCTGTAATATTGAACAATTCTCATTTGTAAACAAAAATAAAATTCAAGAGTTTAATGCAGAACTGATTTTATTTAGATATTTCTTTTATATGTACATGTTTAATCTTTATTAACCATTTTTTTCTAGCAAAGTAAAAAGCTGTCAAAGTTATTCCTTCTCTCCTGGGCCCTCTGCCTCCCTCTGCAGCCTCATGTTCTCCCTGATCAGATCCAGAAGCTGGTCATCGCTGGCACCTTCCCCTGGATGCCCATTTTCTCCAGAATAGTCTTAACAAACATGTAAGAAAAGAAACAGGAAGAGAAAAGAGGACAACGGGTTATTCCTTTCATGTTTTCGCAGAAAAAATAAACTCAAACGAGTTTTTAAAATATGAGATGTTATTGTACCTCCATGCCACAGCCGCCGAATACTTTGCTCCGGTGATCATGTGGTCCATCTCTGCCCTAAGCTTAATAAATTCCCTGGTTTTCTCTTTTGTTCCTAAAATACAAACTTCTATTAAAATCAGGGGGAAAACGTAGCGGGAGAAATACGACACCGAGCGCGGCCGAACATACGAGCCGAGACCGCAATACAAGCACTTTTACTGTAACATTTCTAACTAAAATAACGTTCATGTATCACAAAAAGTCATTAACCTAACAGTTTTCAAGTTTATACTGACATTTATATGCGCAATCCTCTCCGACAGCTCCCGCTTCACTGTCCGCCATTGTTTTTAAGTTTTTCTGCTGGCCGGCCCGCAAGGCATCTTGGGAAATGCTACCTGTTGAAGGATACACCGGACCCATCCTTCATTCAGGCGAAAAGAAGGCCGCATTCGTCGACCGCATTTGAAGGAGTCTTCGAATTGGGACAGGCCTAGTCGCGGCGCTGTGACGTAACCGGCCGACGAATCCGGCCGACGTAGGATGCAGACCCTGAATTGAGACACAGCCACTAAGCTAATCAGGCAGCATCACGTGGGTCTTCAGCGTTTGTGAGATCATACAGGTGACTCCAATTCCTTTACAAACCTTAAGGAATCACGTGGTAATCTCAGATTGTTTCATGGATTTTTTTACCTTAAACAACGGAATGACTGCTGGTTCCATGTACACGTTACTATAGAGCATTATTACCTTGTAGATTATTAGAATAAACAAAATTAATTTTGCTTTTTTAATTAGATCTTATAACTTCCTCGTGAGCATAAAGTGGGTGTAAAAATTAAAGTGGGTTGTTTAGGCTAATAAAATGTGCATTTGTTTATTCAACATAAGCCTGACAAAGCAGGTATGAAAATGTCAGTTATTGTTATTTTAATTATTCAGATTTTGTTAACAAGTCCCTTGGTCAGACATTTATTTACTGTAGAGTTTACTACTGATAACCTCAAATAGGCCCGGAGTGGCTAATCGGGGTCTGGACCGCAAGGCGCGGTGTTGTTTTTGTTTGTTTGTGTGTTTGTTTGTTTGTTTGTTTGTTTTGGACCGGTGCTCAGTCGTCATGCCACTGGGCTGATCCCTAAGACTGCCTACCTGCTGAAAGGGCCTCTCATGTCAGGTACAAAAACAAAAACATATTTTTTATAACTCGTCAGTTCTTGTCTTCTTCTCTTTTTCTGTTGGGGTTAGGGTTCAGTCATGGCTTTGATCAGACCGCGCTGTCCCCGGGCCGCCTCTGCCTTTTTTCTGCAGGCGCTTCCAGACGGAACACTTCAGGTGACTCTGGGTGGGAGAAGCAGGACTCAGGAGGAAAACTCTAGAAACAGACGCCACTAAATGTGCAAAATGGGCATTTTTCACTAAAACGTGCTATTTCCGGAGTCAGCAGCAAGACCCAGCAGCATCAGCAGGTAGGATCACTCACTCACTGAGGGAATATTATGAGAATGAATAATGGAAAGGATTACAAAGACCTGCTCTATTAAAGAGGTCCAGATGTTGGCTCTGTCCGGTTCGGTCCGGACCTCACGGTAAAGCCAGGGGGGCAGACTCTCCCACCAGATCCACGGTGCAATTCAACCTGACAACAGTTATCTTTATTTTCATTTACATGAATGATCATGAGGAATCATCTGGACAAATGTGAAAGAAAAAGATCTGTAGAGAAGGAAAATGGAAAGTGTAGGAGAAAACGAGGATGTACTTCTTTAGTAAATGTTCACTGATGAGTTTTCGTGTTTGGGAAATTACAAGTGAGGTCAATCACAAGTTGTGTTTTCATAAAATAGTGTTTCCATCTGAAAATAAGTCAGGGTTTTATTTTAACTTTATTTCTCAGTGTTGCAGCTGGATGCTCTTCTGCGCACCTCTAACAGGTTACCAGACATTTGAGATTATTTTCTAGTTATTCAATTAAATTATAATTGTATAATGAATATTTTTCTAAAGCAAAGTTTTAATAAGTTATTAAATCAGACACATCAATGCCATAGACACAATCTCTGTCACACCGCTGCATCTTTCGGATCATTACTTCATCCATTTCAGCACGACTCTACAAGGGAGGTCCACTGCTTCCTCCCCAATGGTCTCATTCCGCCGCAACCTCCGCAATCTGGCACCCAACTACTTCTCCTCTCTTGTTGCCTCCACTCTTCCATCTCCCAGCACATTCTCTGCTTATGAAGTGAATGAAGCCACCTAGTCACTCTGCTCCACACTCTGCTCTTGTCTTAACAACTTGTGCCCTTTAGCCACTAGACCTGCTAGATCCTCTCAGTCGCACTCTTGGCTAAATGATACCCTCCGGTCTCTACGCACCAATCTTAGAGCTGCGGAACGGAAATGGCGCAAAACAAAAGATCCTGGTCATCAATTGAAATTTCAGGAATTACTGTCCTCATTCTCTGCCAGCATCACTGATGCAAAGAAAGCTTTCTACACTGACAAAATTCTCAGCTCTATTGACTCAGAAACTTTTTTCAACATTCAAAACTCTGCTCAACCCTCCATCTCCACCTCCTACCAACATTCTATCAGCTGATACCTTTGCCTCATTTTTCACTGACAAAGTGGCAGCTATAAGCAAACAGTTTACTCAACTGGACACTCCTGAACATTCGCAACCACAAACTCCTTCTAGCCCAACCATCTCAGGCCCTACTGCTTCATTTTCCTCTTTTTCCCCTCTCACTGAGAATTGTGTGTCCAAGCTTCTCACGTGCAGCCGCCCTACTACATGCCCACTTGACCCCATTCCAACTAAGCTGCTCCAAGCTATTGCTCCTACAGTAGCCGCAGCAGTCAAACGTGATCAACACTTCACTGACATCCGGTACATTTCCCACCTCTCTCAAGCATGCTCAGGTTAAACCGCTGCCAAAAAAACATCTCTTCCTCCAAATCACGTGGAGAACTACCGACCTATCTCTCTCCTCCCTTTTCTGTCCAAAATCATTGAAAGGGTGGCTTTCAAGCAGATCACAGAATACCTCTCACAAAACTGTCTGCTTGACCCTTACCAGTCTGGGTTCAAACAGGGCCACTCCACTGAAACCGCTCTGTTAGCAGGGACTGAATCCTTAAAAGAAGCTAGAGGGACAGGCAAATCCTCAGTGTTTATCCTGCTCGACTTATCGGCTGCATTTGACACTGTCAACCATGGCTTCCTTTTGTCCACACTCTCTAGCATGGGCATCACAGAGTAAGCACATGCCTGGTTTGAATCGTACCTCACAGGACGATCATTCAGTGTATCTTGGCTTGGACAATCCTCTACCATGCACCATCTTGCCACAGGAGCCCCCCAGGGCTCTGTACTAGGACCTCTTCTCTTTGCCACATACACCACCTCACTGGGTGAGATCATTCGATCACATGGCTTCTCCTACCACTGCTATGCAGACGACACCCTGGTCTATCTGTCATTTCCACCGGACGACCACACTGTCTCTGCATGAGTGTCAAACCGTCTCTCTGACATAACAAAATGGATGAAATCCCACCATCTCCAACTCAACCTCTCTAAAACTGAACTACTTGTCATCCCAGCAAAACCATCCATACAGCATAATATCGCATCCAAAATGACTTCCTATTAGAGCCCTGCACGGGCCTAAAATCTGAGCCCGTGTCCGGCCCGGCCCGAGGGGGTGGAGCCCCAGCCCGACCCGGCCCAAAAAGGTTTTCAGGATTCTCTAGCCCGACCCGAGCCCGAGCCCGACTTTTTTTTAACCAACTAAATGAAAACAAAGTGTGTCAATCCTGACCAATGTGTTAAAAGACGTGCAGGATCCGATCAATTTGTTTTTCCCTCATTTACCGTCACGGAGATGATGGTGCACTGGCTCTGGTGGTAATCAAGTTAAATTTTATCTCTTTCCAACAATTTTCACAAGAAAACAAAACAGTTAAAAGCAGTGCTTGTGTTGTGTTGACCAGATAGTTCCCGTATTTGATGGTTTATTTTGACGGAGAAAGAATAGGAAGAATTACCCCGACGCATGCAGACGAACTGACATTTCATTCCACGCACATCGCAGATGTTGCTAAATCACCCAAGAAAAGATTCCCATCTGAACATCTGAGCTGCACACTGCTCAGCGCAGCTCGCTGTCAGCGCATATGTGCACAGCGAGCTAAAGTTGTGGAGATTGGCTTGGAGCGCGTTGCAGAACCAGAGCGCATGCGGGAAGGTTCCTCCCACTGAAGCGAGTATTTTCCAAACCCTGTCTCTCAGAGAGACTTGTCACTTAGAAAATGTTCCCTGATTATGAAACTTTGGCTGAATAGTGCTTGTTCTTGTCTCCGATATGGTGACGCATCCAGGAGCCGTCTGAGGAGAATCCCAGAATCTCACATCCTCTTCAGCTCAGGAAGCGCCTCTGATTTTGCACAAGCGTGACCCATCAACCCGGTCTCACAGTAAGACTGGGTTGGGCCTGTTCAGGTTTACGCAGACAATCTTTACATAGAACTGACATACAGATATAAAATTAATTCAGTAAAATATAAAGCATTTTATTTAAATATCCATTCATTATTTTACAAGCACAGAGAGCCGCATCAGATTCAGATCAGCGGGAAGATTCCTCCGACTGAATTCAGTCGGAGGAATCTTCCCGCATGCTCTCTGGTTCTGCGACGCGCTCCAAGCCCCTCTCCACATCTTCAGCTCGCTGTATACCTTATGTAGTACACGCTGACAGTGAGCTGCGCTGAGCAGTGTCCAGCTCAGATGTTCAGATGGGAATCTTTTCTTGAGCGATTTAGCTACATCTGCGATGTGCGTAGAATAAAATGTCAGTTCATCTGCATGCGTCGGGGTAATTCTTTCTATTCTTTCTCCGTCAAAATAAACGGTCAAATATGGGAACTGTCCGGTCAACACAAGCCCTGCTTTTACCTGTTCTGTTTTCTTGTGAAAATAGATAAAATTAAACTTGATTAACACCAGAGCCAGGCGCACTGCGCCGTTATCTCCGTCACTGTAAATGAGGGAAAAACAAAATGATCGGATCCTTTTCTGACCTTCCCCACCTACAAAGTTTAATTACAACAATCAAACGTGACAGAGCCTGGATTTGTATTCTGAACAGTCTAAACATGTTTTAAAAAGAAACGTATGACAAACGTGGCACCTGCTCAGTAAAACCAACAACAGGGTGAAAAATATCAAAATATTGTCGGCAGAGACGGGCTACAGCTTCTGGATCCATTTTATATAAATCGTTTTATTATCGTCTTATGAAAGATAACTTTGACGAACACGAGCGACCGGTACTGGCTGCTGTCACCTGTTGTGAGCAGCGCTCTGCTGTCTGAGGGTAGGCCCCGCCCACAACGCCGCGGCTGCTGTGGCTCCCAGTGTTTTCTTTACTGTGGGAAATGGGTAATAATGGCTCTTTGATAGGAACAGGTTGCCGACCCCTGGTTTAAGTGTTTCAAATTTTTTTTTTCAATTTTTTTAATGAATTCGATTAAAAATAAAGGCACCCGGCCCGGCCCGTGTCCGAGGTAATCACACAGTCGTTGGCCCGAAGCCCGGCCGTCGGGCCGTCGGGCCGGGCCGACCCGAGGGCCTAGGGCTTCAGTGCAGGGCTCTACTTCCTATCTCTGGCTCCTTCAAAGGCAGTTCGAAATCTGGGTGTTGTGATTGATGAACACCTGACCTTTAAAGATCATGTTGCCTCTGTTGCTCGTTCATGCCGCTTTGTGCTGTATAACATAAGAAAGATCAGACCATACCTAACACAACATGCCACCCAGCTCCTGGTGCAATCTACTGTCATCTCCCGCCTCGATTACTGCAATGCCCTTCTAACTGGTCTTCCAGCCTGTACTGTGAGACCTCTTCAAATGGTCCAGAACGC